TTTTCCTGCAGCTGAAAATGCAAATGCGCCACTGGAATCAATCAAGTTGCCTCAGAGCGTTGTTGACGTTGACGTTGTTGACGGACAGTCTTTGCTGACTAGTTAGTAACAAAACTTGGGAAATATATTTGGGTGATCAGCAGAACGGAAGTGTACTCTTATAACACAAGTTATTCCAATATTTCGATAATAGTTATTATCATCTTCAAGTAAAAGCTACAAAATTTGTATGATGATAATACAATATAAAAATCAATATGAAAGGTCACAACTTACTGTTATGAGGTTGGCCGTGTCAAAAAAAATGTTACATTTAAACAATTGAAACATGTCAATACAATAAACAAGTCACTACATTAAAAAAAGTAGACTCCTCACTGGATACAAAGAAGAATATTGAATTGAAATTTACTAAAAAATCGTTATTTGTTTTGAAATTATTGTTTACCGGTAAAAACCATGTGGTTGAAGAACAAAGAGAGAGACAAAAAACAATTGACAATGACATCTGTCATATAATTCAGTTTGAAAAGTGTGTTTGTTGATGATAAAACTATGGGACAAAAAAGAACTATTATGGTGCAAGTGTGATTAGAGACATCTGCTGTTCTATAAGTAACTCAATGAGAAAACCCAAAAATCAAATATGTTAATTGACAACACCCTCTTTAGATTTGAGGAAACAATTGAAGAGGTGTTGTTAAATGAAGGTAAAGCCCTGCCATAGGGAGGTTAGAAGTTTGCTAACAATGAAATATTTGAAATGTTAAGAATTAAATTGATGGAAAACCAGAATTATTATTGGTTTGGAAAACATGTAGATTTTGGTCAATATCTAATAAAAAGATTCCACTGAGGTGATCAATTGTTATAAAAAAGACTCGAATACAACAGTGTATGGGGATTTTCAAAACATCACGGAGGAATTCAGATACAGGAATACAGCAAGGACACCCTGTATATGTATTGAAACCCACAGCCTTGACAGGAAACAAGTACAAAAGAGTGGGAAATTTAAATATCAAGATATGTGCATAAAAATTCAATGAATTTAAAAAAAAGACAACCGATATAGGTTAGAAAGAAATGTCAGATGAAATTGAATTAATATCTGTGATGAAAAATCGAAAAAGGCATAATAAACTAATTGTTATTATTTAGGAATGATGAAAAATTCAAAAAATATTGTTGTGAACCATTTCCTTAGAAACTGACATCGACTGATGCTTTTGGAAAATATTTATTACAACATACAATGCTCGGACTGCAATATCTATATCGGTCAAACCAAGAAAAAACTGATTCAAAGGTACGACGAGTATGAACTCAAACTGCAGTTTGACTAGAGCCTTGATGATGACAGCACGACAGCAATATAGCTGCAAGAGTTCTAAGCCATTCCTTATGGAAAAACACGTGCAAATTTGAGCAGGTCCATTCTGTCGTTTTTTGGACCTCAGGCCCACTTCACACGGAAGGGGCAAAGGTCAGCGCCTTGTCTCTGCCAGACGTCCATTATGTGTAAACTTAGCCTTAGCCTTCAAAGTCCACTTCAGACCACCTCCACTTTTACCGTCATTCAGTCAAATAATCAGCTATCGCGCATACAGCGGAAAATTCAAATCAGTAGATGAACAACGTATGTACGAGCTCACTTCAAGGTCGAACGTTGCCGATTTTGAAATTAATCGTGAACGCCTCGACGAATATTGGAAGCGCGAAAGTGATATATTAATAATAATGAATCAGATTTAAGAAAAAAACATTACAGATTAATGAGACTGTATCGTTTCAAAGTGCGATCCCTCAATGTTACAAGGTATCTCAAAATACATCATTGAAAACAAATATGGCGTCGAAGTGTATAGGGTGCGTCAAAATATATCACTCAAGGGAAAAACATGTCGGTTTAAAATATATCAATGTGTATACAGGGCGTTTCAAAATACATCATTTAGGAAAAAAACATGTCGATTCAACAGAAGTCTAGCGTTCCAACATGTCAGAAGGACACTAAGTATCGTATCTTTGTTAACCAAGTTATCATCATCAGGAGAAGAAGGATATGACACCAAAGTTGTCGAGGAGTTATGTATTGTGGAGTTAACATTCGAAAATGGGGAAAGCGAAGTATTCGATCGTTTGCGTGCGTTTTCGATCGTTTGTGTGCGTTTTCGATCGTTTTCCGTGCGTTTTCGACTGTTTTTTCGTATTTCAATATGACAGTTATTTATTACTTAACGCGTTTCGCTAACCAAGTAAACATCATCAGGAGATGACTAAAGTCCACGCTTTGTCATATGAAGATTCATTTTCCAAATTTTCAGACTCCTGAACGGAACCTTGTGGAACACTCAACCTAACATCTGTTACAGAGTGGTGCCGGTCAGCCAATCAAAATAGAGGAATCAAATATCGGTCGATTAATTGTGTTAGATGAAATTGAACTGGGGAATGAGGGTCGGATAATAATAATAATAGTGAAGAAAGATTGAAACTTTGAAAGTGACGTAGTCAGCGTGAGAGGTGATGGCGTGTGTGATGATTTATGGAAATTAATGAGTAATTACAAGAAATGATAGCACAACTGTCAGAAAGGCACTAAGTTGTATATTCGCTA